TCCTCCTCCTCCTTCTCCTTTTTCTCCTCCTTTTTCTCCTCAACCTCCCTACAGGGCAGATAAAGCCCCTGCCCAGGAGCCCTCCCCCCATGAAGAGAACTTCTGGGGGTCAAAGTGGGAAGTAATTCCAAATGGCCCTGACCTGCACATCAGGAGCTGTGGGACTGAGTCCTCCTTCTGCCACTAACTTACAGTGGGATCTCATACTTTCCTTCTGGGACCTCGGCTTCCCGTCTGGAAGTGAGTGGGTGGACTGCATGCTTCCTGGGGGTCCTTCCACCTATATCTCGGGCTCCTCAGCCTCCCTCAGCCTCCCTCAGCCTCCCTCAGCCTCCCTTCTCCTCTCCCAGGCCCTTCCTGGTTTTCTCCTTCCAAACCATGACCTCATAGCTCCCCTAAGCTCTTCTCAGGCTGCCAGAGCTCCCAGTGTCCAAGGGACACAGATCCCAGCTCAATTCTGGGCACCTCCCTGGCTGGCATACGGGGCCCCTCCTGACCCCAGTGGTCCCCAAGCCTCCTGCTCGGTCAACGGGGTCCTGAGTAGCCCGTGGCCCTGCCTGCACCAACCACAGAGGCTGGGCAGCGCTGGAGTTTAAAAATACAAGTGCCCAAGTATCCTCGGTGCCAACTGCCCACATAGCCTGGGGGCTGTGTGCCCACTCCATGGATGCCATCATAGCCACTGTGGGTGGCACAAAGGGAACATGGTGGGGGTGCAGCGAGTCCAGAGAGGTCCGGGGGTGGCTAGTGAGGAGGACAGACACTCCTCAGAGCCTAGACCAGACAACAGGGCTGCTGGTGCCATCTGGCCGTACCCACTCCTCGGCTTCAGAGAGAACCAGGCCAGCTCTGTTCAGAATCCCAGTGTCACGGGTGCCAGGGTCCAACACGCCTGGAATCAGAGCCTGGCTGGGCCGTGCCCTGGCCGTGTGCCTGTGCAGGTGACCTCACGGTGCTGTGTAAGAATGGGAGAGAGGGTGCCGGCAAGGGGCCCAGCGCGGGGGGCCCGGGGAAGTTGGCTTCATGTTACGGGTTACTACAGGACGTGCTGGCCATGGCCAGGACAGGACCCAGCACAGAGGAGAAGCAGGGATGCCCAGCTCCCCTCTCTTGCCCACCAAGGCTGCTGGCAATGGAGCCCCGACTCCCAAAGATGCAGATCAGGGCCCGGAGAGAGGACGTGCCCAGAGAGTGGAGTGGAACCTAGGAATCCGGCTCTCCCTCCCCGAGGCCAGGCAGGCAGCACCCCTAGAACCAGGAGAGCCCTAAGAGACGCCCAGCCCACCCTTCCTTGGTTTTGCCGAAAGGGAAACTGAGGCCCGGAGAGGGCAGGGGATTTGGTCAAGTCCTGAGAGAGCTGGGCCCCAGCAGGACTCCTGCCTCCTGACCAGGGCTCCCTCCCTCCCGCCTGCCCTGGCCCCGCCTGCAGCTCCGTCCCCAGTGAGCGCTGTGAGCGCAGGAGCCTGGCCCGCTCTGCTGCGGCTTCTTCTGGGGGCTGAAGGCGGCCCTGTTCCCCAGCCCCTCCAGGCCAGCTACTGCCTTACATAACCCGCTCCTCGTTACATAACCTGTGGCTGCTTCCCCCAGAGCAGAGGCAGCCAGGGAGGGAGAACACAGGGCACCGCCGTAGGAAAGCGGGCCCTGCCAGCACCGGGGCTCCAGGTGCCAGTGGACGGCAGGTGACCTCCCCAGACTCCAAAGTCCCAGGCACTTTGTACAACCCTAAAGGATTCCCTGGAGAGAGACCTGGAGGAAGGAACATGTCAGAGAGAGGTCACGGGGCTCGGAAGCTCAGGGCTGAGACTGTGTTGGATTATCCTGGCCTCCAGCCAAGTAACCACAGACGGTTCCGTTCACGGCTCGGTTTCCTCATCTGGAGAATGGGCCTCCAAGAACCAGCCTCACTGGCTGCTGAGAACAGTAAACGAAATCCTGAGTGACAGGTGCCTGGCCCCTAATAAGGGCTCAGTAGAGAACATCCCATTTGACAGATTTTTTAAAAAATGAGGTCCATACGGGTGATGTGACCTCCAGGGGCACACATCATTGTGCGGCAGCAAAGCCTGGCCTCAGACAGCAAACCCTCCACGTGCTGGGCTACTGCGGGAAAGGCGCAGGACCCATTTGATGGACGAAGAACCCAATTCAAAGGGGCTTGGCAACTTCCTTAAGGCAGAAGGGGCAAAGCCAGGATCTGAACCCAGGATCTTCCTTCATTACCCCACAAAAAAGCAACTCAGGACCCACAGACTGAGACCTGCGGCAAACAGAAGTGAAATTAGACAAAAGACAGGACAGGCAGGCTGCCCCCAAGGCTTATCACCATCTCTCAGAAACACAGACACCTTCCATGTTGCCTCCTTCCAGCTGCAGCTATGCTGTGTGACCTTGACCAAGCCAGTTAACCTCTCTGGGCTCTCACCTCCCCATCTGAGACAGGAAGCCAACAATCACCAGGGTTATGGTGAGGACACATTCAGATAACGAGTTGGAAATGGCTTTTTAGTGGAGAAAGTATTGCACAGCTGAGACAACAGTCCTCACTTCCCCAGCCTCCAACTCTCCCCGACTCAGCAGGAACTGGATAATGGACACCAGGGGCCTCTCAGCTCTGCTAGCTCTTCCAGAAAACACCTCTCCCCTCCGCTACCCCGGCTCTGGACTGCCATTTGGATACAGATGCACAGCTCCCTACCTGCTCCCCTAACACTGTGACACCTGAGTCACATCTGCCCTGCCATCCTTCAAAAAGGTATTCATTTTAGCTACGTTCCTTGCTATGTGTTTTGTGAGCATCTTCACACTTAGTCCTCACCATTACCTCCACGACACCGAGCTCATTCCCCATTTCTTCACTTAGGAAGCCAAAGCTCAGAGAGGTGAAGTCAGGAGCCTGAAGTCACACAGCTACCAAACTAGTGAAGCCAGAATATAAACTAAGTCCCCATGCTCTTAATGGCCTCACCAACCCATTTCTCTGCAAAATGGGTCTTGTTGTACCCGTTTTGCAGAGGAAAAGACAGGTACTGCAAGAAACAGGGAGAGGGAGAGCCAGGCTGCAAACTCAGGATGGCCGCCTAGTGCAGTACCCTGGCTACTTCTCTGCAGTTGCACCTTGACCAAGATTCAGAGATGAGAGCTGTGACATTTGCCCTCTCGAGAAGCCAGACCAGGCGGACCCTGTGATTGCTCTTGGAGAAGCTGAAGCCACAGGAGGTGGAAGGATTGCATGTCAGAGGGCAAGGATTGCCGGCATTACAACTGAGCCCACCCATGTCCACTCTCTGGACCTCAGTCTCCCAGGGTACAAGAGGTGCCAGATCCGGGTGGGCTGGGGAGACTCATTAAAGCCCCTCTAGCTCCAGGAGGCTGCATCCTAGCCAGAAATCCCCTCCTAGCTGACCTCCAGAATGCTGGGAACTCTAACACCCCATGCCAGGCCATGCCTTGGGGGCCTGATGTGGCAGGACTAGGGGGACCTAGAAACCTACATGCTTTGTATCCATCACAACCACCTCACATGCCTGACCCCAAGCTTCTGTGAGTGGCCAAGCCCAGGATCCCCAGTCTAGGACAAACGTGCCACCTGGAACTTCCTTCCCTGCCCACAACCAGAGTTCACAGCCAGGTGGGGGGTGGTGCTCAGGAACTGTGGGGGCTGCAAGGTGGCATGGAGCGGTCTCTGGTGCAGTTCCAAACTAAGAACTATTAGAACCCTGGGTGTTGGCTTAGGGACGCGTGGATGTCACGATGTCCCCACCTCCTTCTTGGCTGACTCCACATTTGGCAGACACACGGCAGCACCTGCTCTGGTCGGGCACAGTCTCAGGTGTGTCGCCTCTGGGCTGGTGGCGAAGGTAGTCATAAAGCAGCCCGTTGGTCACAGTGTCCTGCAGCCCTCAACAGCCTCCACCACCCATGACTCCTTTACATCAGCCCCGACAGTGAGCTGGGAGCTCAGCCCCCATCTTACAAATGAGTCACTGAAGCCCGAAGAGCCATTTCAACAGCCAGCCTCCCCACCCCAGGCAGGCCCTGCCGCCATGCCTCCCAACTGTCCCCAAGTGTCTCTGCTGATTAGAACTTTCCCTGTTGCCACGGCAACCCCCCTGGGGAGGCCTGTCCTACTTTGCATCCCTGGCGTATGGCATGCAGCTTCAACAACCCCTGAGACGGAGGGGACAGGGGACGGAGGGACGGAGGGACGGGGTCGATGTTACTCACTGCAAGAACAGGTTCCCTGCAAGAAGAACTGGGCCCCTCAGTCGGGTGCTCCGCCGATGTTGAGCAGTACCAATGATGTGCCAGGGACTGAGCCAGGTCAGAAATAAATCATGGTCCCTTTCAAGGGGAAGTTGACGACCAACCAGGCAAAAACAACCAGCCAGGGACAAAGACAGTGGCTAAGTGCCAGGTTCCGTTCTAAGCCCTTCCCATGTACCGGCTCATAGAATCCTCCCATTAACTCTTGAGATAGGTATCAACCTTGACCCCATTTTACAGATGAGGAAATGAAGTTCAGATGTTAAGGAGTCTGCCCAAGGTCACCCACTGAGAAGCAGCAGAGCCAGGGAAACCGGGAGATCCGAAGCCATAATGTGGATACCCAGCCAAGGGGCCCTGACACCCTCAGCTGGTCCAGGAGAGTTTGCCAGGGGAGATGTTTGTCCCAGAAGTGATCTCAATAAGAGAAGATGAGGTTGGAACGGGAACAGATGGAATAGGAGCTCTAGGAGCCCATTTCCCTGCTGGGGGGCTCCGCGGGCCTGGGGACAGTGACTTGAGAAACGCAAACATAAGCGGAGGCGCTGGCACTAGAGAGGCAGGTGCAGCAGCTGCAGGGCACTGGTCTCCTGGGACAGCTGAAATGCTCTGGTGGCTCCCACAGGGACAGCTTTGTACAGGTGTGCACCCACCTGACCACCTGCCTATCTTCACAACTGTGGGTAGAAGGGCCAGCTGCTTCCACATCTGTGAGCAGGAAAGACCCAGCCAGGGACCGGACTAATCCTCACCATACGTATACTAAAAGGCTTCCATTTCCAAGTTAGCCTGCGGGTTACAAGTGTGAATTGGGGTACCCACCACCTGAGTTCAAACCCCAGCTTTCATTCTTCCCATCTGTGGAAACTTGGACCAGCTATGTGGGGTGGACCATCTTTTGTCACTATGACAAAGTACCTGAGGTAATCAACTTAGTAAAGGTAAAGGTTTATATTGGTTAATAATCTCAGAGATTGCTTGGTCCTGTTGCTTTGGGCCTGGGGAAACATAGTGCATCATGACAGGAGCTCATGGTAGAAAGACTTACTCACCTCCTGGCAGCTGGGAAGGAAAAAGGAGAAAGAAGAAGGACAGCAGTCCCAATTTCCCCTTGAAGGCCACGCCCCCAATAACCTAACTGCCTAGCATTAGGCCCCACCCAAAATTTCCTTCATCTCCCAGTAATGCCACGGTCTGGTAAACAAGCCCCATGAGCCTACACCCACATGCCTGTGACCTACATGTGCCCACTTGGGCCTGTATGCGGTGGTGGGAATGCCAGGATGTGGGGTTTGAGGCTGACACAGGCTACACTTTTTTTTTTAACCTCAATATTAGTGTGTGTTCTCACTCCTATTGAGATAAGGAAAGATTAGAGCTGAATTTTTCTCCTTGTGATGTAAAGAGATCTTAATTCTGGGAAAGGAAGACCAATCAACTGGGGAAAATAGTGTTTAAGGCTTCAAGCTCCTACCACAGGCCCCCAGGGAGCTACCTTCACCGTCAGGAAAGAAGAACATGGTCAAGATTAAAGTCAGAGGCCCTCAGAGGGGCTTTGGGACAGCCAAGGGCTTTCCTGTTTTCCCAGAAAAGAGGTTGTCCCTTAGGAAGAAAGTCCCCTTAGGGACACTCACAGCCTCAGCCGGCCCCACCGTGGAGGGAATGAGTCTTCCTGGGGGGGAAACCAACCCAGCCTGTCCCCACCACCACCTTGCCTATTTCCCCAGGAGGAGACCAGAAGGAAGGTTTGAGCCATCGCCTGGAGCAAGGCCGGGTGAGGAACTGGAGAGGAAGGTGGCTGTGCCCTAAGCCATTTGCAACTATTCAAGACCACAAGCCCAGGGAGCCAGGGGGCTCCAGTCCTGAAATGAAGAAGCCCACTCCCCACCCACTCCCACCACAGAGGACCAAGGGTAGCCACTGGAGACAACTTTAGACTCTTGTCACCTGGAGATGGTGACACCAGAGGAAGCTACGTGAACAAGATTTTTTGATTTAGCCTTCCTCTGTGATGTGTTGGCTTTCCCCCTATGGCCGCCTGCTTCAGACTCGAAGCTCTTTTCCTTTTTTTGGTACCGGGAATTGAACTCAGGGGCTCTTGACCACTGAGCCGGTGCACCCTCAGCCCTACTTTGTATTTTTACTTAGAGACAGGGTCTCACTGCGTGGCTTAGCACCTCGCTTTTGCTGAGGCTGGCTTTGAACTTGTGATCCTCCTGTCTCAGCCTCCAGAGCCTCTGGGATTACAGGGCCACCACAGGGTCCAGCTAGCCCTTTTCCTTTGTCTTGTCGCTTCTCTAAAAGCTTACTGCTCTTTGCTGAAGACACTTCATAAGCTGGACTTCAGAACTACTTACTCGCTGAGTGCCGTTCCTCTTATCTATGGAATAAGCTCTATGGAATATACGTGCTACCTGTATATGGAATATACGTGCTACGGGTGTGTTTTTCCTCTATTAAGCTCTTATTAACCCTACGGTGGTTGAAGAAAACACCTACATGATATATCAACAGCCACACACTAAAAAAATCAGAGGTTCAAATAGAACACTGGCACAGAAGTGAACCACTGGAAATGAACTTATTTGTGCCATTTTAGTCAAAAGTCATAGGAGAAAGGAGGACTCAGGTGGCCTGAGTGGCAAGGACACACTGTGTGGAGGTGGGGGTCTTTTTCTGCAGGCCTTGACATCTGAGTAGGGTGATAAGTTGTGGGGGTGGGGCATTCTGGGCAGGGGGGACACCATGAACATAAGAGTAGAGACTGGAAAGAGCTCAGTACATTGAGGGTAGGAGTGGGAGGATAGGCACAAGGAGGCCTGAGTGGAAAAATACTGGTTTTGTAGAAGGGAAGGTGAATGAAGAGTGGTAGACCAGATGGCCTGGATACAGGGATCCAAGGTGAGATGACTGTGTTTCCTGTCATCAAGACATTCAGCAGGTGCTCGATATCTTTCTGGATGGATGGATGGATGGATGGATGGATGGATGGATGGATGATGGATGAATGGATGGGTAGATAGATGGATGGATGGATGAAAGATGGATGGATTGATTGATGATGGATGTATGTCTACGGCCATACCACCTTGAACACGCCTGATGATGGATGTATGATAGATGGATGATGAATAGATGGATGATGGATGGATGGATGGATGGATGGATGGTAAGGAGATGGCTGGTACAGAGATGGGGGAAGAGGTGAGTGTGATAGCAAGGCCTGTGGGCCGGGAACTCTGCCACTAATGAATCATTGAAAAAATGTCTCTGGGTCTCAGTTTCCCTACCTGTAAAGCCCAGGAGATCTCGAGGTTTCTTCACAGGTGACAGTCTGTGATTTTGTAGATGGAAGCAGAGGCTCAGGCAAGAGAGCCTACTCTGACAAACAGCTGGGACTGTGCCTTACTGGTTAAGAAGGCAGGCACGGGAGGAGATCCCAGGCCTGGGATTTGCAAGACCTGGGCTGAGCCTGGCTCTGCCATTTACCTGGACTCACTTCCCCTCCTTGGACCAGAGTTTCTGGGGATGCACTCCAACATTTTAAGGCTCCCTGAGACTTGTCTGAGGGGCCCAATTTATAGAAGAGAAGAGCCCAGCCTCACCCCTCCTTATCCCACTTAAGGAGTTAAAGCAACTTGGGAAAAGCACTTATTCTCACCTCCTGGAATTACCCTTCACTTTGCTGGCAGATAAATGGGGCAAAACAGAAGCTGCAGTTGCATTTAAATGGACCAAGGCAGGAGGAAGTTCATAAGATTTGAATATGCTTTCTGGCTCCTTTTGAATATTCATTTGCCCAGGGGAGAATTAGACAGCTAGATCTATGGGCCTGAAGGGAGGTTATTTAAGGTTGGGGGGAAGGGAGACACAAAAACAGGGCTGGCAGGAATCCCTGTTCATCAGACTTTCAGGAGCTAACTGTGATTCTTCACCAGCTGAAATGTCACAGGCTCAGAGTAAATTTGGGGAGCTGATACACCTCCTGGTTACTGTTGCTATAACAACTGCCTTCCTGTGTCCATGTGCACTGGCAGATCATAGCCAATGAGATAAGCCCAAGGAGGTAATGATGGGGAGACAGCCCAGGCAGGCCCCCCAAATTCTGACATCTGTCCCAGGTGCCAGAATACACCTAAGGTTTCTCAAACATTCCTGAGAATTTTGAAACAGAGCCCAGAGTCCTGGAACAAGCCTAGAATTCCAAAATCTGTCCTTGAGTCCAGAATATTTAATTCCAGGTCCAGAACACATCCCCGATGTCCAAAGAATACCCTCCATTGCTGGCAATCTCTGTATACTTTCCAGGTATGCGCTTCCAAGCCCTAACCATGTCCCTGGGCAGCTGGAACGTGCCTGTCGGCTCTTCTTCCTCTTGAATTTAATCTTCCTGGGAATAGATTTTCTGAGCCACAAGGATCATGGAGGACTCAGGGCTTGTGCTGAAGAAGAGGGTCAGAGGTAAGCAAGAGAAGACCTGGCCCTGACAGCCTAGCAAAACTCAGACCATCACACATGTGCTCCAGGCCACGGTCCGAGTGGCTGCCCCAGCCCAGCACACCCAGGGCACTCTATGCTGGGCCTTGCTCATCCCCTGGGTGACCATGAGCACCATTCATCCTGGGACCCACAGAGGAGGTGGACATTGGAGGGCTGTCCCCCATGTTGCCCTGGCCACTTGAAGGGGGTGCTGAGTTGTGAGGCCTTGCCCTCTCGGCCCTCCCCCACCACCCCTGCCAACACAGTCATCTGGAGCAATCCCTGAACAAAGGCCTCTTCCCCTAGGCTGGGTAGGAAAACCCAGCCCTCCCCAGAACCTGCCCTCTTCCTTCCCACCACACTAATTCTCTGAGAGATCGGCTCCATTCTCTCCTGGATCCCATCCTGCACCATCTTGGTCCAAGCCTCCTCATCTCCCCGTCTCCGCCCTGGTCTCCCTGCCTCCAGTCCTGCCTTCCCTACACCATGGCCCCAATGACTCTGCCACCCTGCACAAACCTTCGGTGCCCACCACATGTTGCAAAACAGGCACAAACACCTCCCCTTATCACCCGAGGCCCCTGGCATCTGGCCCTGTCCAACACTGCCCACTCCATCCCTTCGTCAGCCTGGTTGGGTGTCTGAAAAAGCCCTAAACCCTTTGCTTCTCTCTCTTCTTCCTCCTCAAAGGCTCTATGCGCCACCTCTAGATCTCCATGACAGTTTAGGAGCCACCACCACAGACCTTGCCCTTCTTGGTTAGACCACGGTTGTCAGAGTTAGCTGCAGACTGTCAGGGCGGCAAGGAGCCCAACAGGTAATCAAGTCCAAGTGGTTTTCAGAGTGGACCTTGG